GTTTCCTGTAGACTCCAAATCAATAGATTTCATTACCGTTCCCCAGACAACATGAGTACTGTCACTCAATGGATAGAACTTCACCTGTGCAGGGAAGATTAGCTCACCTTGAGCAAACTTAAATCCAATTCGGAGATCATTTCTTGCCTGATAAATAAAATTAAAAAGCAATCTATCAACATCTTGTCTCTTACTCCTTTTTTTGTTGGCTTGTATCCATTAGTGAACCAGCTCAGTGAGTAAATTATTCCCTTGGATTCTTCAGTTTTTTTGTCTGGCGTAATCTCGTCCGACCCCATTCGTAATTTCCTGCAAAATGTTATTTTGTATGTGACTACTAATGCCTTTGTTGAATAGAGTGCATGAGTGTTTTGCTGTAATAATATAATAGTTGGCATGTTGACACATTTGCTATGAAATACTTCTCATGCAAACTTGGACCATGATATTACGTGTCGTGCTAATGCACTAGCAATCTTAAGGTGCTTCTCAAATGGAAAATATCATTAAACCCAAGCGTATGGTATGTACACAGTTGCATAACTCTTAAATCCTAACTTTAGCTTACAAGAGGGTCAGGTTTTCAATCCCTGGAGGTCTTACAGTGACTGTCAGGTCATATTTAGCGTCACAGCTTATCTTTATCGTCCGGTCCTCCTCGAATCTCTTGCCGTCTGTCTTAAAGAAGACGTGCCGCCCGTTCTTTGGGTCGTATATTGACAGAGAAACGAAGAAATCAGTTGAAGTCATCTCTTCCTTCCTTGCAAAAAATTATAGCAGCCACACCCACACAGTGAATACGCCCACGTATTAAATGGGTGTGGCTAAACTAATTAAATTTTTAATGTGTTGCTAGGCAACAAGGTTTCTTAATTATTCTTGGGACATTGGTACATGTACATGTATGTACATTATGCCTGCTGGTTCTATCAAGGTCCCACAAATAATTCCACTCCGTCCTCCACAGGGTAATAGAAAGCACATCATAGATTCAAATACAGAAATCGACATCAGGCTAGGTATGAAAATTTTTTAATGTATAAATCTATGAATAATTATTATGTATATATACATACATATGTGATATAATTAGTTTATATTTTTCAGCTAACAAGGATCCTGATGTCTCTCTTTTTTACACACTCAACAATGAGAGGCCCAACCCTTTTCAAGTTTTTGGAGAAAAATTCACTCGAAAGTTTGAGTATCCTTTCACGCTTTCCCCAGGAAAGAAAACAATTAAAGTTATGGCAATGACTGCCGATAAGTCAAAGGAAAGTTCAGTAGTCACTAGAACTTTTTTTGTTCGCGAAATAGAAAAGGATAAAGAGACTGATGTAAGTTTTTTATAGATGCATAAAATTGCAATTTTCGCATGCAGCATCTTTCATAATCAATGAAGCTATATCATCAAATGTAGTGCCACGTTTGCATTAATTTTTTAAAGCCATAATTATTTTGGATCATTATTGATCCATAACCTCAAATTTATAGCTTAAAATTAATTATAAGTTCTAAACTTTTTATGAAGCATAAAAACTTTGATGTAAAGATAATTGACTGTACATTTTTAGAATGATGCCTCAAGTGTATTTGATGACTCATTATCTCGAAAGTTTAGGCACAAATTGAAACTATCTTCAAGGTTATAATACAAGTAATTAATGATGATAGTACTCTTATTCTCACAGAGAGAGTAACAAAAGTACTGTCACACCCTCTCCTCCTCCTCCTCTTCCTCCTCTATGCAACAAGCAACCGTCTATTCTCATACCAGCGAGTAACCGTGGCAACTTGTTGAAGTGTCTCTGTTGTAATTCTTTATATGTCGAAGGTCAAGCATTCTGCACAACCTGTGGGGTGCAGTTGCCACGGTTACCATCGTCAGGAGAGGATCCGATTAGGTTTAAAGTTTGTCCAGATTGTCATTCAGAGCTGTCTTCCTTTGTAAGGGTCTGTCATGTATGTGATGCACCTCTGGGTCATCTTCAATCTCTTCCACTGCTAAAAGTTCAAGCAAACGATGGAGCTATCTCTGTTAGCATATAAACATCATATTTCAGACATTTGTATCTCCCAATATATATGCAGGGCTTGATACAATGCCTTCATTGTGGCATGCATAATGATCCATTGATGAGTGTCTGTACAGCTTGTGATCAGACACTCCTTAAAAAGAATGATGGTGGTTTGCCCCTTGATGGGCCCAGTGCTAAAGGAAAGGCTATCATGTATCCAATTGCTGGTAGCAGTTACCTCATGTGTGGAGTATGCGGTCGTGTTAATGTCTCTGATGCTAGATACTGTGATTGGTGTGGCTGTAAGGTACGCTAAGTTAAAAATAATGCATGGAGCTGGGGGCAGTTACACAGCAACTTTAAAAATTTGTAAAAAAATCTAAATTTGATTGGAATTAGCTCAAAATTTCTACGCAACGTAAGAACATGTATATGTGTCAGAAAAATTAAAAAAGGGAGAATTCAAGTTGTTTTCAATTCCTATGTACATGTACATGTACATATAATCTTAACTACTTCTATTGTGCATACACGTATTGCTATTACATGCTTTATGCTTTCTATTTTCCTTATAGCCAAATGGTTCCAGCGTAGACCTGTCATGTCAGGCTTGTCAAAGCATGAATGACTGGCAGGCAAGATATTGCAACAAGTGTGGGGAAATCATGAAATGTCCTCTGAGGTAATAGAACCATATCTCTTGTACTAATTACTATTGCAACTAATAGACCTGAAGTTGAATCAGGAAATACATTAAAAGTAATAAAAATGAGGAGAAAAAGAGAGAGAGGCTCAAAATCTTTCCCCAATAGAAGCCTAAAGGAGTGAGGATTGATCGTCACCAGTGGGTGCCAGTAGCTGATATTGTTGTTTATCAAGAAGACAAGGAAGTTTCAGCATGGCCAGATACACTATCACGCAGTACACAGACTCAAGGATTATTCTATCCTTCAGAAAAGACAATATCATTTAAGAAGCAAGCAGATAATTGGCAGAGACTGGTAAAGAAAGTGTCAAAGGACAGATTAGCTAACCTGTCAGTTTATAGTCCTGGAAAAGGTTTGATTAGTAGCTATCACTATAGACTCCATGTGTTTCTCTCTTATTCTTGTATTTATTCTTTACTGTGTAGGGATGTGGAGGGCTCAATTGGATCACATTATTACACACTTGAAAGCTCATGCTGCATCATCTTTTGATTTCCAAGACACAATAGGATTCTGTCGCTTGGGGAAAGTAAGTACTGTAAATAAAACTGGACTTAAATGTATGCATGTACATGTACATGTATTGCATGTACACAATACAATATACATGCATGTACATTATCATTTTTCTGTTCAGCTAACCAATAGCTCTATAGAGCATTGTCCTTCTGATAAAGATACAACTATAACTCTGAAGCTTTCATTTACCATTAAGGTATACTGCTATGGTTTTGCTGTTTTGATCAATTTTTGATTTTGATTTATAGGGAGAAATGGATGAGTCTATATCGCCATATCTCAACAAAAGTTCAACAAGAAGTATAAATAATAATGCATATACCTCAATGTTTTATATCTTTTTTGCAGAGCAACATCAGCAAGCAATATTGAAAAAGACTGCAAGTTTTATTGGGAGTGGGCCACCACACAGCAGCACAGGTCAAAGTGCTGAGAAGAGAAGGAGGATTAATGATTCACAACTAATATCATCAGTTAAGAAATAAAGAGAGAGAGAGAGAGTAAATTTTACTTTTAGGTCGAGAATCATCTTCTTGCAAGTGAGCTTGCTTTCTCAGGACAAGGGAGAGCAGATATTGTCAGCAATTTATTAGCTAAAGTAAATTTAAGTAAAATGCTGCACTCTGTATTTATAATTACTGTGTCTTTTTCTCTTGCTTCATAGGGTGCAAATCCTAATGCTTTGGACTCTTGTGGGCTACCTGTCCTTTCATTGGCAGCAGCTCACGGTCACTTAGAAGCAATGAACATACTCCTTGAACTGGGGGCTAACATCAATGTACAAACTAAGAGGTAATGAAAGGAGAGGGTAAATGTTTGAGCTTGTATTCTATTTTATTAAATAGAACAGGTAATACGCCATTACATGAAGCAGTGTATGTGGGCCCATCAAGGAAAACTATCATTCAGTCATTGCTAGGGTAAATAATAATGTATTGTGCATGTGTTGCATGCTCCATATAATGAGTATTGCATGTAGTGTTGTACACTTTTGCTTGCTTGATGTATAGTTTTTTCTGATTGTGTTTGCGTAGTCATGGTGCCAATCCGACCGTTAAAAACAAAGAAAGTTTAACTCCTTGTGAGGTGGCTAAAAAACTGGGTCACAAGCAGTTGATATTGCTATTTGCCAGTCAGCTAGGGTCAAGTATGCTAACTAAACTCTTACCAACTATCAACTAACAACCTCAAATTCACATACAAATGGTTTTCTATATTCAATTTGTCATCAGTTTTAAGATTAAACAATAATTATTATAATATTATATCAAATTAGTATTGTTGATTGATGTAGAAATTGAATTATTGGAATTGATACTATAGATACATGTAGAGTGTGTATGAGTGATGAGAGTGAGTGATTATTTTAAATGTCTTTTTTTGATGATTTGAAATCCTTTTAATTGCACACAGTAACTCATTCCTGATGCAATTGTTGTAGTACCTACAGTAAACCTAATTTAAAAATGAGTTGCATTTTATTATACTCAAAGCATGAATGACATTCTTGTTACCATAATAATTTCAAGAGCTGTTGATCAATGCAGTCTAGCAAAGGTGACAGCATAGTAATACCAACCAACATTAATTGTAGAGCAGTGTTAGCCTATCAAGAAAAGAATGATAATCATTTATCATTATTTTTTCTTTAAAATTAAATTAAAATTAAACACACTCAACTAGAGTATGTACCTTGCCTAGAAGGTTGGGTGTTATTTGTAGACCGGATCTCTCAACGTCCCAGTATCTCCTCCATGTCCTCTACAAGTTGATAATGATTAAACAATTGCAAGAGTAAAATAATGATAATCTTGTGAGGAACCCACAACTTACAGGAGGAGGTAGAGTGACATAACGTAGGTAGAACGACCCACCAACTAGCATTAAATCTCGTGATATAATAAGAAAAGTGAGAGGGACTATTAAAATTTTAAAGAAATCATAAATTTAATGGATAAATTGCTTTTTTTTACTTACGAGGTATAAGATTCACGATTGTTAGTGATATGTATAATACTGATATAAGACACTTGTCAGCTAGAGGATCCAATATGGAGCCTAGCTTAGATGATTGCGATGGGAACCGTCTTGCAATGAAACCATCTAACTAATAAAAAAAAGCAATAAATACTGCAGGGAGCTTCACCCATGTGCAACATAGCTCCTCAATTAGTACAGGGAATATTATTTTTATTACACATACTGCATGTAAATGCATGATTGTAGTGCATTAGTAAGTTTACCAAGTCAGAGAGACTGGCTACAGTGAGTACTCCTATGGCTCCAAGATACTCTTGATTGAGTACAAGATAACCTAATAATGGAGCTGATCCTATTCTTAGTGTTGTCAATAGGTTTGGTATTGTCCATATGTTCTCCTAATATAACAATACATTTAGTTCACATACTGGCCCATATTGAAATAGAGTTTTACTTTTTCATAAATTATGTTTTTTCTGTTTTCCGGAGATGTGTCTCTTACCAAATGTCTCTTGTATTGAGCTACAAAACCAAAGATAAAGGAACAATCCTTAATAATATATGTATTCATAGTTTAGCAAACGGACCCACGTGCCTGTACTTCACAGAGTGTGAATGTAAATATAGTTGAAGGGAAGGATATTGATCTCCCCTTACTGTCACCCTGCAGCACTTGCAGTAATAGCAGGAAGTGATCAATCTTCTCATGATGCCATAACACTGCATTGTAGCCATTTATGCATTGGGGTGTGGCTACTTATTATATCTCTAAAGGTCAAAATTTTGAGCAAAATTTCGAGTTTATTCAGCTGTGCCTAGCCTAGTGGTCTTATGTTTTGACAACTAACAAAAGGCAGGCATTTACTAAATCATCAATGGTAAATGATTATTTTAACAAAAAGAACACTCAAGTAGATCTAGATCAACAACAAAAATCTAGGGATTTGGGGAAGTAGTTTATATTTAGGCTTTTATCGAGCATTGCTCTTCTTTATATGGCGTCCTCAGTGATGTTGAAGCTGAGTCTTTTCAAGTCGTATAACTGACTGTGTGGATGATTGCTACCACACTGTCCATTGCAGACAGCTAGCAAAAGGAGTAATAGATAAAACGCATCACATACTTCTTACCAACAACAATAGTGTAGTTTCCTGGTATCCATTCCTCACATATTCCCTCTTCAATGCAGTATCTACCTGGCTCAGCTGAGACTGTGCCATCAGTAGAAACAGACTGCCCAGCAGGAAGAGGTTTCAGTAACTCGCTTGAATCTACACGGCAGATTGAAGGTGAAATAATTTTTGAAAGAACTTGTAAATGATAAAAGAAACTAACCAAGAGGGATGCCATCTCTGGTATCAATTCCAAGATAGACCTCTCCTGTCCCAGTTCCATTCTTTGTGGCAAAAGTAAAAGAGATTTCAAACGTACTTCCTATTAAATGATTTATTGCAATGAAATCATATAATGTCTCTCTGACCTCTGGGGACTAGCTTTGGCTTTACTGTAAGATCAGTAATGGTAGCATCGCCGTCATCTTTGATCTCGCATTGATTCAATAGCTCACAGTAGTAAATGGGATCAAGATCAGCTCTAATTATATATCGTCAAAGCTGGTAAAGCAAATGGTTTCGACTCACTCTTGAATGATTTGTACGAATTCGTAGAAACCAGCAACACTACATAGAACCTCACACACTTCCTTCTCAACATTACTGCCAGGCAGCATCCCACATAGGTCAGTACAGCCTCCAATTACACCAACATCTACAACAAGAGGGCCGCAATGCATTATATATTGTGAATAGACTACTCATCTCACTTAGTATGAGGTTCAAGAGGTTTTGAAGGAATTGGTCAGCAAAATTAATGCACAGCCCACAGTATTTATAATCAGCATTGGGACTCTCAATTTGAAGTGCAAACCGAGGCAAGAGCTTCTTTTGAAAGACGTCATGATGGCGGGAAGGAGCAGCTGCAAGGTTCTGTCCCAAGAGCAGGAGGACCAAAAAGAAAGCAAGCTGTAGAGAGTATTGTGAGCTAAGCTATTGTAGAAGAATTAGCTATAACTGACCTTCATTGTCTACTATTTAATGGAGGTGGTTTGCTTTAACAAGTAACAACAAGCAGAACTGCAGAATGTGACAATGAGTGAGTGAGTGTTGCTAATAAAAATAAGCTTATATAGGCTGGGGGTGGGTGTTACTAAAGTAAAGGTCACTTTTCTGGGATGTGCATTTTAATTTAGATTTATTTTAATGAAACTGATTTATTTTATTTGCAGCAAAAGTATATTATATTAGAATTGCAAAATGCAAGTTCTGACACTGCATCAGTTAATCGAACTGAGCGAGACAGTAGTAATACTCGTAAGTGTCAGCATTATCAACTGCTTTATTTGGATTATCTTTGGCCAGTTGCTTGTTATTAGCTGCTCCATACACATAATCATCAGTATATCCAAAAGCATGAGACCATTCGTGAGCAAGGATACCTTCCTTAGTAGGATCACCACTGCTCTTACAATAGACATCATAGTTGTTATATGCTTGACACAGGTAGACCTTAGTGCCTCCTTTGTAAGTGTATGCATTCCAGTTGGATTGACAGTTGGAAGGCTCAATGACGTAAGTCACGGTCTTGCTAGTTAGCCCATCCACGCATTTCTGGCAGACATTCTTCACGATAGTAGCACGTGCACTAGTATATGTACCAAACCAAGTCTTGTAGAAGCTACTGTCACTCACGTTATTTTTAGCATTAGCAAATTCTGTGCAGAGTTTCTTGTGGGCTTTGAGAATATCGCTTTGCTGACTTGAGTTACCCCCACTGAAGCTAGCAGTAGTGCAGGACTCAATAGTGACAGAACCTTTAGAACGAAGTCCAACTTCTTTACGTGGAAGGGAGACTTTACGAGCGTTATCCAAGTATATGTAAGTAGCACTGTTAATCTTTACTTCTGTTGGCATTTTAATCTCTTCTTGGAGTACCATCAGTGGTTTGATGTACTCTATAGTGTACCCACCATCATGGATTAAAGTGAACACATCATTGATGTGAACTGTTGCAGAAACCTTTTCACCTGCCTTGAGGAGGATATACTCGTCCTTTGTTGGAGGACGACGATGAATGAGCTTTCCTTCGTATTCCAGCCTATGTCCTTTGTGATAGACAGCAATGAATGGAGAGAGGAGTCCCTCAAGAGGAGTGTTACGCATGAGGAGATAATAATCTTCACCAGCAACATTGACGAAATCAAAGGTGCAATCAACATCAGAGGAAGACGGTTCACAAGACATGTCAAGAGACACTGGCCATTCTCTAATGAGAATACAGAAATGACAATTATTAATTTATGATAAATTATTGACAATGCACTTACGTGTACTTTCCCTTGAAGGCCAATGCACTAGCTATGCAGAAGAGAAGAGAAACAAAAATCTTCATTTCTATAAGAATCTAAAGGTTGCTTCAGATGATCTTAAAGAATTGCCAGTGTCCTTATATAGAAAGCTAGAGCTTAGTTTCCTGTCATACCGCTCTTTTCTTTAATTACTTTCCTAGAATAGTACCACTCGCTCCATGTCCTGTGTGCCTTTTCCAAGATACTCCACACACCACTCATTTTTGTACTCAAGAGTTGTATGTATTCACTACAGTCAACTTTAGCGCTATCATTTGTTACTAGCAACAGTTCCAGTGTAATTCAAAATTTTCTAATTATCCATCGTGCTGGGTTTCACTAGAACTTTTCCAGTTTTCCATGACCAATGATAGTAAAGAAACTTTGTGTAAAAGAAATTAAAATTTGTGTGTGTGTGTCATATGGGGTTATTTCACTTTATGTTGCATTTTCTTCTCTTTTACTGAGCTCTAACTTTATTTTTGTCAGATTTTAACTTTCCAGCATTAGACTACAGAGAAATTTCCAAGAGACACAATCTAATCGATTTTCAGTAAATCAGAATAATTTTAGAATTAATTTATCTAAATTTAGATCAGCTGCTAAATGCTCTGGGGAGCGTTCCTATTACCTCAAAAGGGAAGCTGCTCTACTGGAGATATCACTAGTTCAGTATGCCATGAATAAAGCTGTGGAGAAAGTAATAAACTCCATGATGTTGAATGCATGGGATTATAGTCAGTTTTTATAGGGATTTATTCCTGTCATTACACCAGATATCATCAATACTGATATAGCAGTGAGTTTCAAGTGAGGACTTAGAATCTACTTAATCATTATTCCTAGGATAGGTGTGGCTTTCAGCCTCGAAGTCATAGCACGCAAATGTACTCGCTCGCTAATGAGGACAAGTGCTTATCTGCGACTGCTGAAATCCCCTTAGCTGGAATGTATCTTGATGAGAAAATTTTTTTACATGACCTACCAATAAAGTTTGCAATATAATTTTATTATTTATTATTTTGTGTTACATCAGGCTGGTTGCTTTTGGTAGATGTTTTAGAGTCGAAACTGGTGAGATACTATTGCTTCCCTTTCCTTGTCATTCTTATTGCATAGGTAATAGAGGTAAAGGTAGGATAACAGGACTTTATAGAGTACACCAGTTTTCAAAGGCAATTTATTAAAAGTGATCGTTGCATAGTTGTTATTCTCAGCTCTCTTCTTTAGGTTGAGCTGTTTGGTCTGACAGCAAATGAAGATGGAACTGAGAGTGAAGCATTGCTAAATGAAATTGTATCACTTCAGAAGGAGATACATACAGAACTGGGCCTTCATTGCAGGTATGATGATGATGTATCATTGCTTACATACAGTGAAAGGAAAGGAGAGCATTTTATCATTGGCAGTGAAACTAATTAATTGATTAATTGAAATTTTAGCAACTTCTGGACTGTCTTTTTGTATAGGGTCCTTGATATGCCTACGACACAATTGGGAGCAACAGCTTATAGGAAGTATGACATTGAAGCCTGGATGCCTGGTCTGAAGAGATATGGAGAAGTATACCATTTCTCCTAGTTTATCATTGTTGTTACTATTTAGGTTACAAGTGCATCCAACTGCACTGATTATCAAAGTCAAAGATTAAATATCATTTATGGGAAGGCTGCATTTGGACATAAGAAAAAGAAGCTGATAGACCCTAAATATGTACATACAGTTAGTGGAAATTATTATTTATATTTTTAGCTTAATAAAAAAAATTTTTTTGAGGTTAATGGAACAGCTTGTGCCATACCTCGCACAATCATAGCGCTACTAGAAACTCATCAAAAGGAGGTGATATCGATAAATGATGTCTTATCTAATATTTCTCTCTTTTTTTAGGACGGCTCATTTGCATTACCTGATGTACTATCTACAAGTTTTAGATCAATAAACACAGCATGATAATAATAATAACAATAATAATAATAATAATGATAATAATAATTTCATTTCTACACAAAAATGATGTTTGTTATATAAGTCTATTTGATTGAAGCTCTCTTCAAAGGAAATCTTTGATGTGGGGATGCTCCTGGCTGAAAGTTTCCTGTAGACTCCAAATCAATAGATTTCATTACCGTTCCCCAGACAACATGAGTACTGTCACTCAATGGATAGAACTTCACCTGTGCAGGGAAGATTAGCTCACCTTGAGCAAACTTAAATCCAATTCGGAGATCATTTCTTGCCTGATAAATAAAATTAAAAAGCAATCTATCAACATCTTGTCTCTTACTCCTTTTTTTGTTGGCTTGTATCCATTAGTGAACCAGCTCAGTGAGTAAATTATTCCCTTGGATTCTTCAGTTTTTTTGTCTGGCGTAATCTCGTCCGACCCCATTCGTAATTTCCTGCAAAATGTTATTTTGTATGTGACTACTAATGCCTTTGTTGAATAGAGTGCATGAGTGTTTTGCTGTAATAATATAATAGTTGGCATGTTGACACATTTGCTATGAAATACTTCTCATGCAAACTTGGACCATGATATTACGTGTCATACTAATGCATTAGCAATCTTAAGGTGCTTCTCAAATGAAAAATATCATTACATCCAAGCCATAAACTTTGTATGGCATGTACACAGTTGCATGACTCTTAAATCCTAATTTTAGCTTACAATAGGGTCAGGTTTTCAATCCCCGGAGGTCTCACTGTGACTGTCAGGTCATACTTAGCGTCACAGCTTATCTTTATCGTCCGGTCCTCCTCGAATCTCTTGCCGTCTGTCTTAAAGAAGACGTGCCGCCCGTTCTTTGGGTCGTATATTGACAGAGAAACGAAAAAATCAGTTGAAGTCATCTCTTCCTTCCTTGCACAAAATTATAGCAGCCACACCCATACAGTGAGTACGCCCACGTATTAAGTGGGTGTGGCTAAAATAATTAAATTTTTAATGTGTTGCTAGGCAACGAGGTTTCTTAATTATTCTTGGGACATTGGTACATGTACATGTATGTACATTATGCCTGCTGGTTCTATCAAGGTCCCACAAATAATTCCACTCCGTCCTCCACAGGGTAATAGAAAGCACATCATAGATTCAAATACAGAAATCGACATCAGGCTAGGTATGAAAATTTTTAATGTATAAATCTATGAATAATCATATATACATATATATTATGTATACATATGTGATATAATTAGTTTATATTTTTCAGCTAACAAGGATCCTGATGTCTCTCTTTTTTACACACTCAACAATGAGAGGCCCAACCCTTTTCAAGTTTTTGGAGAAAAATTCACTCGAAAGTTTGAGTATCCTTTCACGCTTTCTCCAGGAAAGAAAACAATTAAAGTTATGGCAATGACTGCCGATAAGTCAAAGGAAAGTTCAGTAGTCACTAGAACTTTTTTTGTTCGCGAAATAGAAAAGGATAAAGAGACTGATGTAAGTTTTTTATAGATGTATAAAATTGCAATTTTTGCATGCAACATCTTATGAATCAATGAAGCTATATCATTAAAATGTACTGCCATGTTTACATTAATTTTTTAAGCCATAATTATTTTGGATCATTATTGATCCATAACCTCAAATTTATAGCTTAAAATTAATTATAAATTCTAAACTTTTTACAAAGCATAAAGACTTTGATGTAAAGATAATAAAATTCAAATTGACTGTACATTTTTAGAATGATGCCTCAAGTGTATTTGATGACTCAATATCTCGAAAGTTCAGGCAAAAATTGAAACTATCTTCAAGGTTATAGTACAAATAATTAATGATGATAGTACTCTTATTCTCACAGAGAGAGTAACAGAAGTACTGCCACACCCTCTCCTCCTCCTCCTCCTCTATGCAACAAGCAGCCACCTATTCTCATACCAGCGAGTAACCGTGGCAACTCGTTGAAGTGCCTCTGTTGTAATTCTTTATATGTCGAAGGTCAAGCATTCTGCACAACCTGTGGGGTGCAGTTGCCACGGTTACCATCATCAGGAGAGGATCCGATTAGGTTTAAAGTTTGTCCAGATTGTCATTCAGAGCTATCTCCCTTTGTAAGGGTCTGTCATGTATGTGATGCACCTCTGGGTCATCTTCAGTCTCTTCCACTGCTAAAAGTTCAAGCAAACGATGAAGCTATTTCTGTTAGCATAATAAACATCATTATTTCAGACATTTGTATCTCCCAATATGCATACAGGGCTTGATACAATGCCTTCATTGTGGCATGCATAATGATCCATTGATGAGTGTCTGTACAGCTTGTGATCAGACACTCCTTAAAAAGAATGATGGTGGTTTGCCCCTTGATGGGCCCAGTGCTAAAGGAAAGGCTATCATGTATCCAATTGCTGGTAGCAGTTACCTCATGTGTGGAGTATGCGGTCGTGTTAATGTCTCTGATGCTAGATACTGTGATTGGTGTGGCTGTAAGGTACGCTAAGTTAAAAATAATGCATGGAGCTGGGGGCAGTTACACAGCAACTTTAAAAATTTGTAAAAAAATCTAAATTTGATTGGAATTAGCTCAAAATTTCTACGCAACATAAGAACATGTATATGTATCAGAGAAAAATTATAAAAATGGAGAATTTAAGTTGTTTTCAATTCCTATGTAGATGTACATGTACATGTAATCTTCAATACTTCTATTGTGCATACATGTATTGCTATTACATGCTTTATGCTTTCTATTTTCCTTATAGCCAAATGGTTCCAGCGTAGACCTGTCATGTCAGGCTTGTCAAAGCATGAATGACTGGCAGGCAAGATATTGCAACAAGTGTGGGGAAATCATGAAATGCCCACTGAGGTAACAGAACCATATCTCTCGTACTAATTACTATTGTAACTAACAGACCTGAAGTTGAATCAGGAAATACATTAAAAGTAATAAAAATGAGGAGAAAAAGAGAGAGAGAGAGGCTCAAAATCTTTTCACAATAGAAGCCTAAAGGAGTGAGGATTGATCGTCACCAGTGGGTGCCAGTAGCTGATATTGTTGTTTATCAGGAAGACAAAGAAGTTTCAGCATGGCCAGATACACTATCACGCAGTACACAGACCCAAGGATTATTCTATCCTTCAGAAAAGACAATCTCGTTCAAGAAGCAAGCAGATAATTGGCAGAGACTAGTAAAGAAAGTGTCAAAGGACAGATTAGCTAACCTGTCAGTTTATAGTCCTGGAAAAGGTTTGATTAGTAGCTATCACTATAGACTCCATTAGTTCATCTATTTATTCTTTACTGTGTAGGGATGTGGAGGGCTCAATTGGATCACATTATTACACACTTGAAAGCTCATGCTGCGTCATCTTTTGATTTCCAAGACACAATAGGATTCTGTCGCTTGGGGAAGGTAAGTACTGTAAATAAAACTGGACTTAAACGTATGCATGTACATGTACATGTATTGCATGTACACAATACAATATATATGCATGTACATTATCATTTTTCTGTTCAGCTAACCAATAGCTCTATAGAGCATTGCCCTTCTGATAAAGATACAACTACATGTATAACTCTAAAGCTTTCATTTACCATTAAGGTATACTGCTATGGTTTTTTTGCAGTTTTGATCAATTTTTGATTTTGATTTATAGGGAGAAATGGATGAGTCTATATCGCCATATCTCAACAAAAGTTCAACAAGAAGTATAAATAATAATGCATATGCCTCAATGTTTTATATCTTTTTTGCAGAGCAACGTCAGCAAGCAATATTGAAAAAGACTGCAAGTTTTATTGGGAGTAGGCCACCACACAGCAGCACAGGTCAAAGTGCTGAGAAGAGAAGGAGGATTAATGATTCACAACTAATATCATCAGTTAAGAAATAAAGAGAGAGAGAGAGAGAGAGTAAATTTTACTTTTAGGTTGAGAATCATCTTCTTGCAAGTGAGCTTGCTTTCTCAGGACAAGGGAGAGCAGATATTGTCAGCAATTTATTAACTAAAGTAAATTTAAGTAAAATACTGCATTCCATATTTGTAATTACTGTGTCTCTTTCTCTTGCTTCATAGGGTGCAAATCCTAATGCTTTGGACTCTTGTGGGCTACCTGTCCTTTCATTAGCGGCAGCTCACGGTCACCTAGAGGCAATGAACATACTCCTTGAACTGGGGGCTAACATCAATGTACAAACTAAGAGGTAATGAAAGGAGAGGGTAAATATCTGAGCTTAATTGTATTCTATTATATTAAAACAGAACAGGTAATACGCCATTACACGAAGCAGTCTATGTGGGCTCATCAAGGAAGATTATCATTCAATCATTGCTAGGGTAAATAATAATGTACTATTGTGCATGTATTGCATTCTGCAATAATGAGTATTGCATGTAGCGTCGTACACTTTTGCTTGCTTGATTGATAATTGTATAATTTTTTTCTAATTGTGTGTTTGCATAGTCATGGTGCCAATCCGACCATTAAAAACAAAGAAAGTTTAACTCCTTGTGAACTGGCTAAAAAACTGGGTCACAAGCAGTTGATATTACTATTTGCCAGTCAGCTAGGGTCAAGTATGCTAACTAAACTCTTACCAACTATCAACTAACAACCTCAAATTCACACACAAATGGTTTTCTATATTCAATTTGTCATCAGTTTTAAGATTAAACAATAATTATTATTATGTTATTATATCAAATTAGTATTGTTGATTGATGTAGAAATTGAATTATTGGAATTGATACTATAGATACATGTAGGATGAGAGTGAGTGATTATTTTAAATGTCTTTTTTTGATGATTTGAAATCCTTTTAATTGCACACAGTAACTCATTCCTGACGCAATTGTTGTAGTACCTACAGTAAACCTAGTGAAAAAATGAGTCACATTTTATTATATTGAAAGCATGAATGACATTCTTGTTACCATAATAATTTCAAGAGCTGTTGATCAATGCAGTCTAGCAAAGGTGACAGCATAGTAATACCAACCAACATTAACTGGAGGGCAGTGTTAGCCTATAAAGGAAAGAATGATCATTTATCATTATTTTTTCTTTAAAATTAAATTAAAATTAAATACACTCAACTAGAGTATGTACCTTGCCTAGAAGGTTAGGTGTTATTTGTAGACCGGATCTCTCAACGTCCCAGTATCTCCTCCATGTCCTCTATAAGTTAATAATGATTAAATAATTGAAAGAGTAAAATAATGATAATCTTGTGAGGAACCCACAACTTACAGGAGGAGGTAGAGTGACATAACGTAGGTAGAACGACCCACCAACTAGCATTAAATCTCGTGATATAATAAGAAAAGTGAGAGGGACTATTAAAATTTTAAAGAAATCATAAATTTAATGGATAAATTGCTTTTTTTTACTTACGAGGTATAAGATTCACGATTGTTAGTGATATATATAATACTGATATAAGACACTTGTCAGCTAGAGGATCCAATATGGAGCCTAGCTTAGATGATTGCGATGGGAACCGTCTTGCAATGAAACCATCTAACTAA